AGAGGTCATCATGAAGGGTGTTATTTTACTGAATACCAAAGGAATTAAGAATGATCAGCCTATTGAGTTAAAGCTTTGTCATTTAGATAAATACTTGGTTCTGGCTGCATAAAAGACCTTTTTTTTTTTTCACTTCAGTTTTCAGCACTTACAAACCAAAAAATTATGCTCAGTCTTGTACTTTTGAAGGAACACAGACATCAGGCTTAATTCTACTCTCATCTATGCTTCTGAGTATTAGCAGTGAGAGTATACTCATTGGCAGTGAGTATTGGATGTGAGATCTGAATCAGGCCCTTTCTTTCATAACATGGGGATGGACGCGGGTTGCAGAGTTTCCATGCAAATTTGATTTCACAATGTGATGTGGATGTATTGAGCAAAGGGGAGGGGTAGATTCAGAGAGCTCGTGTAGGCTTTATATACAAATTGGATTCAGATCAATGTTTTGTACTTTCAGAATAACTTATTCGAAAGTGAGTGGCTGGAGTTGGGTTCTGTCTCTGGCCCATTTCTCATCTAAACGGTGCTTGTTTTCAAGAAAATGTCTGTGTAACTCAAACCCCAGAGAAAATTTTGAATCATGCTTGCAGAACTCTGTGCAAGGCATTTACACATATGCTAGAAGTGTATAAGTCCATTACATAAATTCACACCAGGCTGCCCTCTGGAACATGCAGCTTCCACAAAGAAGCTGGCCTACTTCATTTACAGAAAATAAATATCCTCAGGTCTATCTAAGTGACTGAGAAGCTTAATTAGGATTCTCAAGTAGACTGAAACTTGGAGAAAAGATACTACGGGAACGTCTAGTGCTATTAAAAGTTTTCATTCCTCAGACATTGTTAAATACATAAGAATCTTCTCCAGTGGTTGTTTGCAAAGATAGCTTTAATATCCAGACCCAGTCTTTGCAGCTGGACATGCTCTCTCATTCTACTATTGCTGTTAAGATTTTGATGGAAAATGTAAGAGAAGCATCCACTATAGCTGCCAAAGGGTTGTCTCACTGCAATTAGAGATGTAACTGTTTTGCACAAATGGCCACTGGCCCTTCCAGCAGCAAGGAGTTAAAGGCAGGATGCAAAATTTTCCTTAGGATCAGAAGTAAATACTCAGGAGCTCAGGCTCAGAAGCATGCTGCAATGTCAGTACCTGTCAGTCCTTGAAAGAGCTAGACAAAAACTACTTACATTTGTGTTGTGATTATAATCACAACTCTAGGTGGCATCTTCTAAATTGATACACTCACAGGCTGTGGAGTTTCTCCCCCTCCTAGAAACACCTCTAATTCAAAAGACTGATTCATCTACTCATTTCCTGGTTATTTTTTTCATTAGTTTTTCATCAGTTTTCATTAGTGTCTCACTATTTAAGCTGTGTGCAAAATTCTATCCCAAACACATCTGATTTCAGAAACTAACCACTGGATCTCTTTATGCATATCTGCTACATTTAAGAGTCATTTAATCGCTCATTAATAAAGTATATTTTCCAGACCTTGAACTAGTCCTCTACTTCTTTTCTGAAGTCTTTCCAATTTCTTGACAGCCTTCTGAAAGGAAGGATACTAGAACTGGATGCCACGTTCTAGCAATGGTCTCACTAATGGGCCTTAGAGATTCACTTAAACACTTCCCGCTGACAGCATCTGAACTATTGCTAAAAAAGCCTGAACACACCAGAGATGAATGCAGCATGTTCTGCTCATGTGGAAGAATAACTATAGGCTTGTTTAGGTAGGAAAATGCTTACAAACTAAGCTATGCTATGCTAAGTATTGAGCACTAACCCTCCACACAGATGCTTTTACTACATCCAAAGCATATTGAGTGGAGTTCAGATTAATCCATTTCCAAGATACTTGGGGTTATTTAGCCCTAATAACTGATATTTTGGTAGAGCTAAAAGGATCTCGCACCCCATACTACTGCCCTGCCCTGCCCTGCCCATCCCATCCCATCCCATCCCATCCCATCCCATCCCATCCTAGCCCATCCCATCCCATCCCATCCCATCCCATCCCATCCCATCCTAGCCCATCCCATCCCATCCCATCCCATCCTGCAAATACACTCTGCTCAGTTTAGAATTTCAAACTCAAGCTCTAAATTGGAAAGGTGGGTTCTCAGCTGGAAGCTCCCTCACTTGCAATGATCAGTATTAGATATAGCACCTTATATTCTCTTTCTCATATGGACTCTGGATTCTTGTCTAAAAAGTGAAACTATGAAATGAACCCAAACTTACTCGCAAATGCCTTTTTTGGCTGCTATGTGAAGAGGTAACAGGCCATCTTTATTGGCTTTGTTAGCATCTGCTCCTTGGGACAACAGAAACTCCACGATACGTACATGCCCATTTTTACAGGCTTCATAAAGAGCAGAGGCTTTATCACTGGCTTGAGTATTTATATCAGCACCTAGGAAGAAAGGAAATCTTTGTAGCACTAAAAGGTTAAAATCAAATAGAAGCAACATATTTTAAATGAACAGCATAAGTCTCTGTGACACTGGAGCCACAAAATGTCCTGAAAGGGGATGTGAATGAGGTCATATCATATTAAAATAAAAAAGTGATACAGTTATACTTTAGAACTTCACTGGCTTTTACTGTGATGTGAATTTTATGAGGGAAAGTTTAATGGGGAAATTATTCTCTTTAGTCAGTTTGTTGGGGGAAAACAATGTGATAATACACTCCTGGAAAGGGATGTACCCACAGGATAAAAAACACAGTCAGTGTCAACCATTAGCTTGCAGTTATGAATCCAGGCTCCATCCAACCATATCTCAAATGCAACCATTTTAAAATGTGCTAGAGGGTAGTTCTTTATATAACGTGGCCTTTTCTTTAGACGCAATAATCTCATAAGTATTTATATATTTACTGTGTGTACATATACTAGTCGTGAGCAAGAGGTGGAACTCCAAAGGAAATTATTCTGTAATAATATCATATATACACACATATAATATATGTTTATATATGTTATTTATACTATATATATTTATACTATAAGTGCATTCATACTATTTATACTATATTTTAATTTTAGTACATATGCAGGCTAATATAGGATTCTATAACAAGACAACCTCATAATTCAAAGCAAAGAATTCAGTATCTGAAAGTTGCTCTGAAAGTTGCTTTTATTCAGGCATGCCTTAGTCAATGAATACTTCATTTCAAAACTTAGCATGTGAGGCCTTATTTTAAGTTTTACAGAAAAAAATGGCAAATAATATTAATGAGCTACTAGATTATTCGGGGCATTTTTCTTGAGCTCTACTGGATGTTTGGCTTAATAAACAACAAACAAGAATAAACCAAGCCCTAATACTTTTTATCCACAAACATTCTCAAATCTAGTTTTTTCTGTGCTAGAAATTTAAGGCCTGAAAGCCTAGGTTTTGACTGGTATATGCTATACCATTCTGTCCTCAGGAAGGCTGCTCTATGTGTATTCTAAATGGGAATGACCGTTCACTGGAGTTTTGCTTCTAGCTCCAATAAAAGAGCCAATCAGGCTCCTGTCTGATCATGAAAACTCCCTGCCAAGAAGAACATTTCCCTGTGCTGTCACCCCAGACTGCAACATCTGTGTTGTGTTTGGCCCTTTGAAGACACTGTAGTTAGAAACAATAGGAGAACAGCAGTGACAAAACATAACACAGGACTACGTTCTTAATGAAAAATAAATGAAAAAGAAACCTTTTTTATGATGAACATTGGTCATCATAAACAATGCAATGATATTATTCCTGGGGTTCTCAGAGGAGCTTTTGAGGGTTTGAAACATTTGAACAGTTTTATTGGATTTTCTCTTGTGTATTTTTCTCAAAATTAAACTTTAAGGAAAGTCTAATATGTATGTAAGTTGAAACACAAATAACATTCCAGCTTCATTTTCAAAATCATAGGCAGCTTGATGGACTATAAATGATGGTCATATAAAACTGGCTTGACAACGCTAGCTGGACAACGGACAGCATTTTTTGTTCCCCAGTTGTCACGTCTTTCTTGGCTATACTAATCTCTTCAGAAGTTTTTCTTGTCTGCACTGCTGTTTTGCTCTCATTTCACAAACATATTCACATGCACAGGCACTGATTCTCACCTACATTGAAGATATTGTGCCACACTGAGAACAAAAATATGCTTCAGAATGGTAGTAGTAAAGTGTATTGTACTTATTTTAAAGCTGTTTTATATGACTGGAGCAGTATACGGTAGATTTAGTATAAACTAGAATCACATTTATTTTGCTTTTATGTTTGAACATACACACACGTGAGGGAGAGTGAGTGTGCTTCTCTCTGGTGTAAATCTGTTAACTACAGTACTCATCAGGACTCATTAGTGGAGGAAAACTCACCTTGTGCCCATCCTTGCACATGTTCATGAGCAAATAGGGTTGGCTAATGTTCAACTTCCACCAGCTGTTATCACCTACAGTTTCTTTTATAACTGACTGGACTTTAGGCTACACGTGTGCGGGGTTGTGAAAGCTGTCAGTCAATACAATTAAAGAGCACCAAACTACTTCACCACGTGAGTGACCACTAATGGATGCTGAAGAAACTGATGTGTCTAGTCCATGCTCTCTCAAAGACCCTATTGCAATCTGGGCTTCTAGAGCAACAGGAACCTCAGCACCTCTTCTGGCTAAGCCTTGTCTCCAGAGACTGAAAAACTGAGGCATGGAGAATTAACTCTCCACACTCTCCACAATTAACACTTTGAAATATTAAGGATGAAATGAGTAAAGGCATGTCAATTGCATGACTGAACTCACCACATTTTGCCAGGTATCTCAAAGCATCCAACTGCCCACTCTCAGCTGCCACAAATAAAGAAGTAATTCCATAGGAATTTGTGGACTCAATCTTGGCACCCCCTTTCACAAGGATATCAATAATCTCCAGGTCATTTCGGGAGACAGCCTCATGGAGAGCAGTCCATCCTCGATTGCAACGATGGTTGGTATCAGCGTTGTACTGCACCAGGAGTCTTGCGGCCTCTGCATTCTTGCGTTCACAGGCTGTTTTGACAAAAAAGGTAGAGATACAGGACAAGCTTTTGAACAGATTCTGGGTGTTCTGAGTATACATTTCGTGTAGCACAAAGCAATATAACACAACTTGGCCGTGCTGAGTCAAACCAAAGATTCATCTAGTTCAATATGAGAGCTAAGGCTGCAGCTAATTGACAGTGTTTGGGGCAGGCAAAGGATGTAGCAGAAAAACCAATCTTCAGCTGGGACCTGGGGGAGGCTAACTGTTATGCACTGCGCTTGAACCAAGCCTGATACTGAGGGAGATGCAGAAACCACACAACTTAACGACTCTCTGTCCAAATTCTATGCAAACTGACCCTGTATCTTATTGCCTTGAACTGCAAATAAAACTCTATAGTCAAGAAAATACAAAAAGACCAAACAAACAGTAGCCAGCAAAGGATCCTCAGAATATAAGAATGGGGTGAGCCACTTTCCCAGCCTGCCACAATTCACAACTCAGGACCACCCTGACATAAAGGTATTTTCTTGATATGTAATATTTTTGGGGGGATTTTTACTCATTAATTTGTTCCATTGGTTTTTGAATGCAAAGTCAGGAGGCTCTCTACATACTTTTACTGTGGCACCCCAAACCAAAGGCTTCTAGAATAAGCAGCCACTTTTACAACCCCCAGTTAGCATATGCTATACAAGGCACAGTGAGAGAGGTCACCACATTCTATAGCAATTGTTCTTTTTAAAAATAATAGTGTCTCTTTCTCATGGAAGTGCTGCCTTTCGGTGTTGGTTCTTCCCTTGGGATATCCCCATGGCTTCCTCTCACATACATGAGCGTCACTAACATGTTCTGAAAGCAAACTATCTGATTAGACGCTGCTGTAATTACCTACGCATGACAGCCCTGCAGAGTTCCATTTGCTTACATACAAAGGATGAATGGATCATAAAATTTTTAGCACATTCTTAATAACAGTTTTCTCTGGCTAAAGGGTGCTTTCATATTTTCATTATTATGAAGATCACTGCTACTGTGTGTTTAATTCACAGTAGAACAAATTTCCTGTAGCAGACTATAAGCCAGACATTTTAAAATCAGACATATTAAACTGTGCCTTTATAATTCCAGGCATTCAAAGCTTATGGAAAGATTATTGTGTAGGCCAGTAATGGGTGCTTTTTAACGTAAAGTTAGAGCACTAAAAATTGTCATGTGGAGAGCAGTCAGTCAAAGGGAGACGGACATAAAGGTGTGAAGGATCATTGCCTTCTCTGAACCCTTCAGATACCATGGATTTAATGCTGTTCTGCTAAAGATATTATCTACCTCACTGAATTGTTTATAGCATTGTGCATCTGGCATAGCACATAGCCTGGCCTGTCACACTCAGTACATGAATCATCAACATGTGTACACTTACTATACTCCCACATCTAACAGTTACTTAGGACCTACTGTTTAAAAAGGCATACATAGTCCTGTCCTATCCAGCTTTGTGCTTTCCCACAGTTTGAGACACTCTGCAGAGACCCACCTGACACTCTGTGCTGAGGATCCCCCTCAGCGTCCCACCCCCCGCTCTCACCCCATATTACAGTCTGCAGCCCTGAGGCAGGCACCAAGCCCGTCCCGGGCGCAGAGGGGTTGTGCCATGGCAAGTCAGATGCAGGAGATATAGGCTTACCTGTATGAAATGGGAGCCAATTGCTGAATTTGAGTCTTGGCATGCAAGACCTAGTGAGCCTACCATGTCTGGGGAGAGCTATGTGGGGGCTGATCCTCTGAGTGCCAGCAGCTCTCCTCCTATGGCACCAGCATTGCTCAGCATCTCTGGGAACTCGGTCACTCACCTTTGTAAAGCGGAGTTTCTCTGGCCTTATTGGAGATGTCGGGCTCGGCTCCAGCCTGCAGTAGGGTGAGGAGGCAGTCTAGGTTGCCCCGGCTCGTGGCCAGGTATAGAGCTGTCTCCTCGTTGAGAGTGCGCTGGTCGATTGTGCCAGGGTATGCTGTCAAGAAACCATAAGCGCACAGTCATTGAGGCATGTAGTATGCAAGTATCTGAAGCATAATCGTTTTTCGTGATCTTTAGAGTTTTAGCTGATTTTTTTTTGTTTATTTCTTCTTCTCCTTTTTAGTAAGTAAAGTAAGTTAAGCATAAAAAATGAATTTATTCTAAATCCTATTAGCCACTGGCTTAGATTTTAATGTTCATCTATTGCCATTAGTGATGCAGAAAGCTGCTGAGTAAATGATCTTCGGTAGTAGTTTGAAGCAGAATATGACAGCTAACTGCCTTCAGTCACTGACAAAGATGGGCTGGGTTGGATCTTCAGCTAGGGGTAACAGAGGCAATTCCGCTGCCTCCTGTGGCAGTTTAGCAGCTTACAACAGCCAAGGATTGAGCTGCAAGCCTTTACAGCGGCAACTCCAGGGCTTGGCATGATCTATGCAGTTTCACAGAGATATCAGTTTGTCCTGCATGCGCTAACTTTTACAGGCCTCAGTTTGCAAACGTGTCTTCAGAGAGAGGGTGAAATTAATATGCACACAAACTGGCTGAAAAAAGAACTTCACACGAGGACCCAGGCTCCAGCTGGGCTGTGTTAATTCTGCTTTTTGGCTTATTCATATTGTTCTATCCATTTCGTAATCAATTAATTTTAATTTCACTAACCTTTTTGCAACAGGCTTAGGCAACCCACTTGGCCATAGTATGCAGCTTCATGGAGAGGTATCCAGCCATCCTTATTAGGTTCAGAAAGGTCTTTCCCTGATTTCATCATGTTACATACTGCTTTTTCATCTCCATCCTTGATTGCTGCCACCACTGGGTCAAGCTCTCTTTAAAACAAGGTTGAAAACTGATTACTGCTTTCTTCATTACTGACAAGATTTTTACGGCAACAACATGGTATCATTAGGCAAAGAACAATGAACCTCTACAGCCTACATAATAACTTTTTGTGGCCCTCGGGCATCTAGCTACAGTTGTCACTAGAGGTAAAATCTATCTATCTACTCTAATTTAGCTAGTCACGACGGATAAGAAGCAGCACTCTCTGGAGGCGTGGATCTTTCTCCACAAAGTGTAAAGTGTAGGTGTTGACTATCACTGACATAAACATTTACATTTTAGAAATATGGAGTTTGGTGAGACTAGCGCTAGCCGTGCTCTGTACACTACCATGAGTATCCATGGTTGTGATAATCACATTATCCTGACATTTGCTGTCAAATGTGGTAAGGTCGTTCCATGTGAGATTTCATAAACAAGATCAACTTAGAGAAGAATTGCCCCTTTTCAACACTGAAGAAATGTTAGCTTTAATTTGCAGATGGCTGAGCTCTAAAACAGAAATTCTGAATAAATCTTTAGAGATACTTCCTATTTTTCTTATGAAAATCTGTCTTCAAAAGTTAGGCAGACCAGCTGTCAAGAAAGGAGAACGCTGGCTAGACCTTGTAAATCTTACAGTGTTGGTCTGGGCTCTCTTTTCTTTGGCCAGGGAGGATAAAAAGAAAAATCTACCCACTGAAATGAAATTCTGAGCTGCCCTTAATGACTACCCTAGAGAGCCCCAGCTATTATTTCAGTATTAAGCACCCAAATTTTCAGAAACGATAACCGCCTTGGATGTTATAGACCTTTGAAAATATGTCCAGTGTCACAACAAGACCTGCTAGGTGCTGGACACTTTAAAATCCACTCTTTTTCTAGATGCCTACTTGGAAGCTGACCCATCAGCTTTTTTGACAAGCCCACTCTATAAATGCTGATATTTGCATCAAAACAAAAGTCAGTACACTGCTTCTCTAAGGAAAAACCCAGGGCTTGCTGTGGAAGACTATGAACAAAATGTGTAGGCCAATAAATGGGAAAAGATAGCATATCCCAGGTGAAAAAGTACTTAGTACCACTTGCTCTTTCTTCTCTATAGCTGGAAGCAGTGATATCAAGACTGCAGAGTCACAAAAATAGCCACACTGGAATGAAGGGAGATACGGGATGCAAAGCCAGGCAATTTTCCTGAGGAGATAACAGCTAGAGCAGGCAGCTGCCTTCCTGGCCACTACCCAGCCAGAAGGAATCAACTGACCTTCTTCTGATAATTGCAGGACTGATGTCCCCCTGGATACCCCACTGTATCCCCATACTAATTAAGGTACCTAAGGCACTATAACATTGCTAGTTAGTTATAGATGAGAGATTTTTACATAGGCATTTAAAATTTGGCATTTGGTTGAAGTCAGTTAATAGCAACAATTGGTATGTTTGCCTGAGAGAGGGGAAGGAGGTGGGGGATCTTTATCCTTAAAAGCCTCTGGCACAAGCCTGCTGAAACCATCTGTTGTGCTATGCAAAGTTTCATGTTACATACACAGGGCTGCTTACTGTGACCTGGGACTCGGGCACACGATAGAGTTACTGGGGTCTAGTGAGTTACTGCATGCCAGGTGGGATACGACAGGAGTCTGTTTGCAGTTTGTTGGCACATAGCAAACGCAAAGTAAATCGTATTAACTGAGACCCCAGTGAAAGCACAGGGTACCTTGTCTCTGTGGCAGGGTTAAAAATGTGTGCAGAATCAGTTAGTGGTCTGCTCGAGCCTTCAGATGTTGAAGATGTTGAATGAAGCAAACTTCTGTTAGGCCCCTTGACCTTAAATGATTCCTGAGCAAGACAAGAGGTTTGCTGGACCTGGCTGTAGACACTTTAGCCAAGCAAATTCCAGATTTGCACAGAAGGTTTAATGAGTCTCCATGTGAAATCCTTCTTTTCTGCTTGTCTCAGAGTGGGTATGTGTACACACACACACACACACACACACACACACTCATATGTAACACATTCTGCTCTTTGGATTTTAATGGAAACAGACAAAATCAGTATTAAGACTAAGGAGGAATTCCGAAGTTCTGATGAAATTTTAAATTTATAGGCTAATCAAAAGAGTTACTACATTTTGAAGGCCAGTAGCCAGGCTCATAAATACTCATTGCAAAAGAGGTGCATGGTGGGGTCAATTCTAAGTGCTGCAGAAGAGGTTCAGTAGTGCACAAAAGGGTTCAGGAAGCACCTCCTTTTCCTGGCAGCCTGGTAGGGTGTAGAGAGCATCGGGTAACATTATCTTCCTGAGTGAAGCCAGCTAGCCTCTGCCTGGCTCCGAGTGCAGGGCCAGAAAATAGCCATGCCATCATGCTCCCTTGTGACTTCCTAGCCACTTTTCTGCTCTTACCTGACAGCAGAGGAGGGGTAGTTTATCAGCATTATCTTGGCCCTCGTTATAGACCAAACTCTATTGAGCTATATGATGCAGAAGAAAAAGCCTGCTTTCCAGTCCTTGCAAGTGGAGTAGGAAAGAGATAATGCAAGGAATGCAGATCACATAATGAGAGGATGTGATTTCAGAGGGGCCAAGGGGAGCTGACAGGTGACAGGGGTGAAAGAGTCTCCACGTTTCAGCAGAAAGAGGTTTTCACACGTGTCTGTGAGGGCAATGTCAGCACAGCACAGTGGGCAGAGCCCAGATTACACAGGGTGCAGGGTACAGGGTGAGATGGGGGAGAATATAGATACGGGTGAGGGAGACAAAAGAAAAAGGAGTGAAGACGTGATAGTCAACTAACTATGCATTCAGGGAGGAATTTGTAAGATGGATAGAACAAAGAGGGTTTGAACTGGGAGACAAAAAAGGCAGAGGAGAGGTTTCTGCAAGGTACAGAGAAGTTCTGCCTGTGACACTTTTTCCCCCCCATCTCTTCCCTAAAGGCAGGTACCAACCTCTGCTCTGCCTGGCAGAGGGCTGTAATAAACCCATCACAGTCCAGACACTACCACTACGCACAGGCAGAGCTCAGCCCACCAAGCTTATTTATCGTCTCCACCAATGGCAAAACAGGGCCAGGAGGGTCAAAGTCTGTCCTAGTGGTTTTCCCTTGGCTGGGTAAGATACAGTGTGGCTTCCCAGTAGCCCTTCTCAATGAGGCAGGACAGCGCAGGCATTGCTGTGCCAGAAAGCAGCTACAGCATCTTGGAAGCATTTATAAAACATTACTTTGAAGGACTGGACTCTCTCACCCTGTTTATATGCTGCCATAAAATGTTTGTTTTCGCCACCATCCCCCACCACTGAACTATGAAATTAATACCAATGCAGTACAAACAGCATCCATCTGCCTCATCTACTGTGTCAATGTGGGAGCCAGCCTATACAAATAAACCACATCACAGTCAACCCTTCCCTGCTGTCCCTTGCCACCTCAGAGCTACCAAGTGACCCAGAGTCCCCAGGACATGTGCACTGGAGGGATGGAGAGGGATGAAAGGGGAGGAGAGGACAAGGGAGGTTTGAAGGTGGGGTTGCCCACAAAAGACAGTGTGATGGTTCGGGGCAAGTGGGAGGCTGGAGGAGACAAAGAGAAGGCGAAGAGGCAAAGAGCGCAGATATCAGCAAGACCCCTCTAAGCAGTTCATGAAATCCCTTGGATGACACTCAAAATGCCACCATATCCCCCCCAGACACCATCACCGCCCAGAAGAGCTGACTGGGAGGGCAGGGGGCCGCAAGGCTTCTTTTGACTGCACGGAAAAGCAGGAGAGGGAAAACAAGGCACTTACATGGGCTGAGGTGTGCTGAACAGGCTGCCATCGTACCTTCGCCTGACCCCCCAGGCTGCCCCCGAGCTGGAAGAGTGAGCATGGCCTCTTGTCTGGGCCGCCAATCTGGAGTGGCGATGACATGAATGAAATAAAGAGAAATACTCCGAATAGGAGAAACAGGTCATGTTGAGGCAGAAACAGAGACACACACCCACTGAGAGGGAGAGCAAAAGCGTGCTGGTCAGGGCTTTGAATGAAAGCAGATGGCCACAGCTTGCTCTGCACTGGATTCAGCTGCTCTCTCGGCTGGAGATTATTTTTGGCCCTCTGAGGAAGCATCAGGGGATTCAAATGACCATATAAGACAACAGGGAGGTTAACCCTGCCACCACCGCACAGGAAGCAGGCAGGAGGCGAGGTGACATTCATCACCCCCTGACGTGTCACGCGAGCAGGTCAGAGGAGGGAGCGGAGGAGGATCCAGGGCCCCCAGGTGCAAGCTCCATTTTGAGCTCCCCAGGCTCTCCCAGGCAGCAGCAGCGTCCAGCAACACTACGGATCTGTAGCTACAAACCCTGCAAAGGCTTTTCCTCTAGTGGGAGGTCAAAAGCTGCTGGGCTGAGGCAGAGGCAGGACAGGTTAATGCACAGAAGAGCAGATGCTGTCTTTCGCTAAAATAGCAGGTGTCAAAGGACCCGCTAGGAAGACAAGACCAAACAGCCAGGGTAGCCCTTTCTCCCCCCGTTGTCAGATCCCCACAGCAAAGCTGGCAGTACAAGTGTGCAGTAACTACACTGCAAAGCCCTGGACTTTAGCTGGAGCAGGATTGCATTCTGCAAAGCATCTTTTTTCCTGTAAGCATAAAGCATCCTTACTGCTCATCAAATTGTTCCAAGTCTCCTGACCTTTGAAATCAAACATTTGCAGGTAGTGAGGCTTCGGTAGGGAGGCAGTGAGGAAAGCAGAGTTATGAGAAGGAAGGAGGAACAGAACTTCAGTTACTCCCCAATTATTACAAAAAAAATAGTTTGAAAGGAAATTTTTCTATCTTCTTTGACTTTCTAACCCCTCCTCCTCCTTGAGAATTCTGCCTTTTAAAAAGTGAAAGGAGAACAAAGTTTGGTTTTGAAACTGTCAGCAAGTCTCTACAACCCACAGCACAACAGCGCAGGGGAGGAGGATGCCTCCACACTTTGGTATCTGGAGCTACTCTTGGCTGGGAGCAAGCGTGCTTGAAATCAAACTCTGAAACAACCACATTTTTCAGAGTTTGTAGTATCTAGAAGGTAGTCTGCTCACATGGTTTAATATGCCTTTTTTGGTCTCTCTCCTATGTTTTCCCATAAGGAATCCTGTACTCCCTCCCTGGCTAAGCCCAAGCCAGGAGTGCAGTGTCCTCATGAGAGAAAGGAGCTGCTTACTTCAACAGGGCTTTTTTAGGTCAAGAAAGCTTGTAAGACTGCCCACTTTCTTATTTTATTTGTTGTTTAAAAGAGATAACTTTGAGCAGATTCTCATTTCACTGTGAGGGTGTAAATCACTGACTTCATTGCGTATATACCAGAATCTGGCTCTCAAACTAACGATTAGCTATTTGAAGCTGCTTAGTACGACTAGTTAGCGTGTTGTTTTGGCAGGGGAGGCTGGCCGTCCCTTCCTGGGCAGCGTGCTCATGTCGAGCTTGGGCTCACTCACCTTTGCCAGGGGTAAATCTGGTAGGGAGGGTTGTGGCTGCTGGTGCGGCTGGGTGCAGCTGCCTCGCCGGGGCCCGTCACAACTGACTTCTGATGACTCTGGGCAGCCGACTGCCCTGCAGGATCCTCCTCCAGGCTCTGCTGTATGGCCATTTTTATAAGCTCGTCCTCACTCAGGCTGCTGTACAGATTGTATTCCTCGCAGCCAATCATTTCCCTTTGAGTATTTGCTGCTGTTGTAGCCATTTTTTTTTTTTTTGCTTTCCTGTAAAAGGAGATTTGAACAATTAATATGTGGAAAATGAAAGAAAGAAATTCAGCCATCTTGTGCTGTTGTTCAGCTCTGTCTCTTGATTAGACTGACCAGAATTCCCTAGAAAAACCTTTGTCATGGAGAGAACATTAAATCTGCATGTAAACTTAGTGAACCAACTCCTTTATGTCACATAGATGAACCTGGATTTTCTGTTGGTTAAGAAGGGAAAGGAGCTGCTGCAAGGAAGTAAGACAAGTTTTTAATCTACTTATTCTGGTTCATTCAGTTCAGGAGAAAAACTGGTAAAGGAAATCCCCAGCAGATTAAGGAGATATAGCTTTGAAATTAATTTATTTAGGAGAACACTAATGCACATCTCTTTATTTTTTTATGTCTCATTTTTAATTGGTGGAAATTAAAGGGAGAAGGTAGCCTGTTTTCTGTAGGGGTAGGTTCTTAGCCAGGGTAAAGCAACTTTGTGGAGATGCTTCTCTCACCCTATCTCAAGATCTCACTAGCAACATGCAAAGCTGCTCTTTGAAGTGACTTCCTTTTTCTCGTTAATCTAGAAGAGCAATGTGACACTATTCAGTTTCACTTCTGATTTTCTGCTTTTCATGGAACAAAGTTCAAGGTCATCGGTTTTAAGACTCATAGTAAGACTCCCTTCCGAAAACTAGAGGTTGAGAGCTGGAAATGATAGACGAGGGGGAACGTCAGAGCACATTCAGCAGTCACAGGCTGAACTGTCAGTGCAGTAGGGACTCAAAGAAGGCAAAGACAATCCAAAATACTGTGGTAATTCCAGTAATGACAGGGAAGTATTAGTGCCATTAATAGCAACATGCAATGCTTTAGCAAAATCTCATCTGGATGCCAGGGACAATTCTGGTCTCCAGTGTTCAAGAGTCAAGGGAGTATTTCATGAGAGGAGATGGAAAGACTTGGTTTGCTAAGAAGATGGCAGCCAAGAGGGAATAGGTTTTCTCTTTACAAGCTTATCAGAAAGCAAGAAAAGCTATGTAAAGTAAAGAAGAGGGCTTGCATGAGAAGAAATGGATCCAAACTGCCCGTGGAAGGATTTAGACTGGAAATGGGAAGAGTCCTCTCTGTCCCTGCCCACCTCCGGCCTCCCCCTCAGCCCCAGGTGGCCATTTCAGCCCAGCCCAGGAGTCGTCACTCCCTGCCCCGCCATGGCCCTGCCCCTTCCCGGCCACAGGCTGCCCTGGCCCCCACCCCAGACCCGACTCGGGGCTG